CCCGGGTGGTGCATGCCCACAGGACCATGGCAGCTCTGGCGGGTGCAGGTGCCACCGCAGCTCCAAGAGAGCTCAAATCCCCCCCGCGCCCGGGTGTCAGGCACCGTGCCGGCTTTGCTTGGCTGCTTGGAAGCCCGTGAAGGTGTATGGGGGAGCTCGGGGGGGTCTCAGGCTGCGATGAGCAGGCGCATGGGGATGTGGCACTTTGCACCGCCAGGAGGGACCAGGGACCCGGGGGGGGGGTTCACTGGAGGGGGCAGTAGGATGCCCGTGGGCTGCGACCCAGCCAGGGGGCACCGACAGCAAAATGAGTGATGGGTGGGTCCCTCACAGAGGGTCCTTGGGGCCACGCAGGTCCGAGCTGCTCCAGAGCAGCAAAATGCAGTTTGGGAGAAGCGAGCTGGCTCCGGCTGATGGCAGCGTGTTTATTCTCCCAGCAGTCTGTAATTTTTCCAGCCCTGTGTCTATTTGCGGCGATGTGACATGTGCAGCGTGGTGTTCTTTGCAAGCTTGAAGTCTTGTAAAAAATTAATCGTGTACGCAAAATTTGGCTTTAAATATTAAAATCGACTGTGGGGAAGTGTGAGCCCCGTGCTAAGAGCCGAGCCCTGTGCCGGGTGGGTCGATGTCCCGCAGCGGCGGGTACCAGTCTGGGGGCTCCCAGGGATGGTACCATCCCACCATGGCCCTGAAGGAAAGTCCAACCGAGGTCGTGGCTGCTGTCTGGGGCTGGGTGGGTTCGGTGACCGGCTGCACCCGCAGCTTTGCCGGGGTGCTGGTTGGGAGCTGTGCGGGGCTGTGGGTGAAGCCGTGCGCTGTTCTCTCCCAGGGATCAGGGCCATTTGTTTGTTAGAGCATCCCATGTTTGGAGGGCACAGTCCCATGTGCCGCAGCTGTGGTGTCGAGCGCAGGAGGCCGAGCTGTGTGGCCCCACAGTGGGGCAGCCCCCCAGCCCAATGGGGACCCCACGCCGTGGGCTGGCCTGCCTGGTTTCGTGGGGGGCTGCCAGAGGGGTTTTGCTCCCCCCATGCCAGGCTGGCTCAGGGAGATGCGGCGTTGAGGCTGTGCTGGTGCACGGGGCTGTGGGTGCAGAGATGTGGGGCACCGGGGTGTCCAGCCAGGGTGCGAGGTTGGAGCGTGGGGTGTGGGACTGCGCTGAGGGGTCTGTGTGTGGGGCTGGCTGGGGGG